GACTATTATCTGTTCCCAAACCTCAAGCGGTGGCTCCAGAGAAAGAGATTCACATCGAATGAGGAAATCATCGCGAAAACCGAGGCGTATTTCGAAGGCTTGGACGTTTCGTACTACAGAAAGGGCATCGAAATGTTGGAAAATCGCTATACCAAGTGTATTGCCCTCGAAGACAACTATGTTGAGGAATAAATATAACTTTGCCCAAAAAACGCTTGTTTTCATTAAAAATCCAGGGACTTTTCAGCCCATGTAGTATATACTGTTTAGGGCTGCGTTCGGAAATTTTACCCGAGTGCGTTCAAGAGAAATTTTTGAAAATGGTCTAAAGGTAAAAGAAAAAGAAAATGGAAGTACAGAAAGAAGAAATAAGGGTCAGTCAATCTTCTACGATGATTTAAAAAAAAATATACTACATGTTTTAAGTTTAAGATTTTATCACTTCTCAGTAAACAAGAAACATTTCAGTAACGTTGTACCAATGTTTTTTGCTAGTGGGTTTTGAGTAATTATAAAAATAAAACTTCTTTTAATATAAATAAAATTTTTTTTATTAATCTATTATCAATTTATTACTATTACTTAATACTATTGTTGTTACTACTATAACTATAATATTTAATATTATTTATTACTAGTAAGTAATTTTTATTCATTTATTTTTATTACCATCAACTTTATTAATATTATATATAAATATTATACAATTAATACACAATTAATATATAATATTATATATAATACAATTAATTAATATTACATTTTGTTTCAGTGATATTTGAGTGTCTACATCGTTAATTTAATAGACAATTTTTTCATTAGTTGAACAGAAAAATCCTAAGCACTTAAGTTATCTAAGATTAACATGATCAAATAAGGCGCCTCTTTTGTTTTAAAAATAAAAGAATTTTATCTCTTTTTATCTTTTTTAAAATCTGCTTTGATTCCTTAATCAAAATTTTTGATGTCTGCGATAAATTATTATTTGATATCTCACTTTCTGTCTTATTTCACATATTATATCTGCATAACATAACAAAATAATATATTTCAAGATATTTCAGACTAATATATTAGATGTACAACTTGGCTTCCGCCGTTTTTTTTCCGAAATTCGAGGCTTTATTGTAAAAAACTGGTTATACATTTATGATTCAAAGTATTGTCCATCGCTGGCCACTACTTTCTCCCATCTTTCGGGTAGCGTACGAATCCCGCGTCGAAAAAACTGGTCATCTTTTGAGGCTATCCACGAATCGAACCAATTTTTTACTTCTTCATAAGACCGGAAGTGCTGGTCAGCCAGGCCGTGTGCCATTGATCGAAACAAGTGATAGTCAAAGGGAGCAACGTCTAGAGAATACGGCGGGTGGTAGGGTAGGACTTCCCATTTCAACGTTTCCAAGTATGTCTTGACCACTTTCGCAACATGGGGTCGAGCATTGTCATGCTGCAAAATCACTTTATCGTGTCTCTCGTTGTATTGCGGCCGTTTGTCTTTCAATGCTCGGCTCAAACGCATCAATTGCGTTCGATACCGATCGCTTGTGATTGTTTCAGTCGGTTTTAACAGTTCATAATACACTACGCCGAGCTGGTCCCACCAAATACAGAGCATGACCTTGGATGTCAAAATCACCGTTTTTGAAGCGTTGAAAACACGACACGTTCTTTCACTAATAATGGTCTCACCATAAGTATTTGAGAGCATTCGATGAGCCTCAGCCGCAGATTTCTTCATATTGAAGCAAAAAATTAAAACCTCCCGCAAATGACGAAAATTTGGCTCGTAAACTGACATTTTCAATCGAGAATAACTTTATGATGCAGACACAAATCGATTAATGTTTCTATGGGATTATGTTGACAGATGCCCAAGTTTATTGTATGACGTCTATGATCTATTTAATTCGACCACCACTTACCGCTAAAGCCATCTATAGAAAAACGGCGGAAGCAAAGTTGTACACCTAATAATATAATACATATAATATAATATAATATAATATAATACATGTATAATAAAATAAAAAACAATGCATCCTTATTTCAAACATAAATTTTAATAAATTTTACAACAATTTATTAATTTATATAAATATACCTGGCAATAAAGTAGGTATAGCATCCTTGCTTAATTTTTTTGAAAATTTGTATTTATTTTCAAAATGCTCTTCACATACAGTTCGGTTATGAATTTTATCCTCTGATACACTCAATAAACTTGTATTTCCACTTGCGTATAACCATTGTAGATATTTGTTTTTGTCTATACGTGGTTTAAGAAACGCAATCTTCTTCGATGTGCAATCTGTTCTTGCACATTTTTTGTGATTCATACTTGCCGATAATATCGAAGGCAATTTCGATGAAACAATAATAAAGATCTTGTGGAATCAACTCAAAAAATGAAAATAGAAAATTGACACTGATCGACAATATACGACGCCATTAAAATTAGTTTGCCCCCATGTCTACGGATGGCGCTGGTTTTAATGTCCTCATGTATGACTGAGAAGTGAAGGCCCTGACACTGAGCGTCGGCATATTTAATGTTGTAGGTCCCAAGTCACATAACTCGCCGCCATGTTGAAAAGGCCCTTATAAATTTGAGTTTTTATAAAGCTACTAGAGCAAGAATGCAAAGCAGCTAGAATGATTTAAAAAAAAAAACAATTTGTGTCATAAAAATTGTTTATAGTGAGTATATTTTTAAATCAGAATTATATAATAATATAATGTTAACGACCTCATTATATAAAAATAATATTCACATTAATTATAATAATAATATTTAACAGTAATAAGTAAATTAAAAATAATTGATTAAATACTATATGAAAATTGTAATTGAATAATTATGTATGAAAAAATAACATATTGTATAAAAATTCTAATTTAATATGAAATTGTAATTTAATAATATTTGCACTAATGCACGCACAATAAGAATATCAGACCAAACATGAGTATGACGAGTGAAAGCCGTGAACGTCGTTCGTACAAACGAACTTAATTTTTTTTTAATTTGTAAGAGAAAAGTATGGCAAAGAGTTAATAAAATTAAGTTTTTACTAAAAAATTAAATCAAATTTTTTCGGAGATGCTATATTATATAGACTGTTACATTTGTATATGATAAAGTATCCTTATAAGTAAACTCACTCTATTTGGCCCGATTTTCTTGCGACAATATTGTAAGCAAAAGGGTTAATTATGTTTTATGAGAAGGAGATTCACCTAACTTGCAATTTCAACTTGCTGAAGGCAGCCACATTCCTGGTTAGAACTCGACGCATACGCACTAAAAATTGGGGACCACATAAGAAGTATCCGTACTGTATGTACTTATACTATGGTCACATTAAGGGCGTAGAATGGATTAAGAGGAATAAAATCGTCTGACGGTTTTATAGGATGGAACGCTGTCCTTTCCCCTCCTTGCGCATCACCGTCGCCGCTGTTGAGTGTGAGCTGTTCTCGCGGCGAATTCGCGCGGCGTGACTTCACTGCACATTAGTTTCCTTTTTTAATTCGAAAACTACAGCAAATATCTCAAAATGGTATTAAATCTCTTTGTTCCCTTTGATCCATTCTACGCCCCCAATCCATTCTGCGACTCCTTTATTTCTGAAATATCCTGTATATTCTTTATTTAATTGAAAGTAAAATATCTTAACATAAACATATAATATAATAAGTGTCTTGACACACAATAAAAAAGTTATAGACTTGTATATAGATACACACATGCTCCATTTGGCTTTATTTCTAAATATATCATATATTAACTTTTGCCTTATACGATAATAAACTACGAATCATATATCGAATAATTTCTCACTAAAGTGTTTTGTAATTCGCACTCGGCATTAGTAAAATCTTACATTTTCAAAAATCTTCTTTCAATCTTCCGATGGACTTGAAAACCTTCCAAATGAAGGAAAATCTTCCAATGAAACAACACTGACTGGAAAACTAGCTTACTTCCGACGTGTTTATAGCCTTTACTACTGTTCATTGACGACGCTTTAAAGATCCAGCTTCGATCATTATAGGTATTTTAATTTCTAGTTCTTATTGGTTGTGTTCTCATATGTACGGTCTAAAATAAGATTCTTATTGTTTATAACATCATTCTACATTATATCTAACTTAGCGTAAATCGAATCGAATGTAAACATAGTAATAGACATTTTTTATACATACGAGAAGAATTACTGCTATCGATTACTGTCAATAGAAAATTAAATAATAAAAATATTTATAAATAATAGTTTAAATATATAAATATTTTTTACATATCGTAAAGATCAGATATCGTAAAGATTCTTCTATACTTACGCATGCTGCAGTAGCTAATACTACAAGAGCGTTCAACAGAATACTCAACATGTTGTAATTCAGTAAACTATTATGCAGTAGATGCATTCTGCTGAATGCATCCAATATATTGCAAATTAAAGAATAAAATTTAAAAAATCAAAGCTGTATTGTAAAAGTGATAACAAGGTAGTAGAACCTATCACGTACCATAAGTAATACCAGAAGTCGATCAACCATTCCATCGGGAACAATTAACTATTTGCAAAGAATAATTGGATTTGTGAATTTGTCTAATTTATTATTATATCCTATTGTCCGAAAAGTTCGTGCCGATTTTGAAAGAAAATTGAAAGAGAAGATTTAAATTTTAGTATACATTTATTAAATTTAAATCTTTTGCGGCACGAACTTTCCGGACAACCCAATATATATATATATATA